GCCATTGTGGTGCCTTTAGGAATGAGAATTTTCTCAGAAGTCTGGTTTGTAGCGCAGAGAAGTCCGGAGCCATTGTGGAATCGCGCTAGACCTGAAGCAAAGGCTATACCTCTTGCGAGACAGCGTGCAGATGGTTGGACAAACACGTCACCAGAGTCGATCACATTAGAAGTGATGGCAACTATCCGCTGATGACCAGGTGGTAGCTCGGTCTCTTCAGCAGCGAGCAAGCGAACGGGCTTGTCATCCGCATACAGGGCATAGTCAGTTTCCATCATATGAACAGCATTTTCTTTACAGCAAATGGAAGCGTTCGCCGTAGACAGAAAATCCCAGCCTAATATAATCTGGTGGGCACACGAATTCAGCACAGCAAATTGTACAAAATGAAGAATACCAGCGATGAAAACACGAGCGGTGCACATAGCGGCAGGTCTAATGGCGTCCCCTTGAGCAGCGTGCAGTGTAGGTCCATCATAAGGAGTGGTGACTTTTCGTAGATGTGAGCACAAAGAACGATCAATCACAGACAAAGAGGCACCAGTGTCTATTAAAGCGTCCACGTACACACCTTCTATTAAAACAGCTATCGTATTATATGGACGCACTGGAGGAATTTTCTGTCTTTTCGTTCGATGCAGCTTTTCCTCCAAAAGCTGCAGAGGTTAGTTTTCCGGGCGTTGGTTGGTGAAATGCGAGACAGGTCGCAATGGAGACGTGGAACGGCGGAGGGGTGAGGGTGAGCGGCGTCTAGTAGAGCGGTAGGAACTGGTTGGCTCAGATGTCGCAGTTGGAGACGGTGAGCGGCGTAGCGGCGGATCATAAGGACGACGTTGGAAAGCGTACCAGCTTGTCCCATCATCCCGTCCGTAGGTGTCGAGTCCACGACGCTCGTCCTGCTGACGCTTCCGACAGACGCGTGCAATGTGGCCCCGATAGCCGCAGTAATAACAGATTGGACGATGCGGCCGACACGGTGGGTGAAAGGGCTGGCTAGTCACACTCGGAGTTAACGAAGCCAGCGGGACAGGCGTCGAGTGTGCGGGCATCGGTTGTACCACGGGTGGTGAGCCAGCGAGGACTTGTGCGTACGTCGGTTGGAGTCGAGGTACTGGAGTGTCTACAAACGCTGGCCTGGTCATGGACGCCAACTCCTCTTTGATAACATCCCGCAAAACATTGTTGGAGGGGGGAGGTGGACTCGGTGTCATTGAGAGGCCGAAAGATTGTAGCTCTTCCTGTATAAGCGCCCGGATCATGGCACGCAATGAGGCATCAGTCGTGGTAGTGTTTTCAGAGCTGTCCGGCGGTAACCGTTGGGATTCAAGTTCTTCCAGGCGTTGGCACGTGGCAACAACGTCAGCGACCGTAGTCGGGTTCTGAATGACCAAGGCATTGAACGCGACCGTGCCTATCCCTTTCAGTAGATGGCGAACTCTCTCTGATTCAGACATGGACGTGCTGAAACGGTGACAGAGAGCAAGCACATCCTCTATGTACGATGTGTAGGACTCACCGCATTGTTGCTTGCAAGAATCCAGTGTCTTCTTCGCGAGAGCTGAACGAACCGCCGGGGTGCCGAAAATTTGGCGAAGCTGTTGCTTAAAACGCGTCCAGTCCGTAATGTCCGCTTCATGATTGAAAAACCATGTTTTCGCTACGCCCGTGAGGTAGAAAGAAACACGGCGAAGCTTGGTAGGATCATCCCAGTTATTAGTGGAACTCGCTCGATTGAACTGGTCCAACCAATCTTCCACATCTTCACCTCGAAGTCCGGCGAACGTGGGCGGCTCACGCTGGTGCGCGGTGATAATCCACGATGGATAGGCCGTGGTAGCCGGGGCCGTGGAGGTAGACGCAGAAGCGCCGGTTGGCTCGTCCTGAGGCATGTTACCGGACACCTGGTACAAACGACGACCTGAGCGCAGCTCCAGGAGGCAGATCGGGCTGGGAGAGGACGGAAGATCGTAGAGCACACTCCACCACTTGTGATGTAACAGTAAAGGCAACCTTTATTAGGCCCGGAAGACACGATGAAGCGACCACGCCCAAGGCACAGAACTCAGACAAGCCAAGTCCCCACAGCAGAAGATGACGACCACTCATGATGATGAATATGTGTAAAGATAGATGATGTGCTTAATGAATGCCTACAATATATATATATATATATATATATATATATATATATATATATATATATATATATAATATAGATTCCTGCCCACGGCAAGTTACCTTTCACCCACTTTTCTTTCTTCACATTTACCTTACAATTCTCTCTAATAACCTCGCCTATACTTTTTGTGGCATTATTGTCTGTGGATTTCATTAATATAGTGTCAAAACACGGACAAACGAGCCCTTAAGTATACACTTTTTTTCTTGTATGTATGTGTATATATATATATATAATATACACACACTCAGGCGAACACGGTTATATCAAACCCGCATATATCGAATTCACAAGTTATCCCCTTGAAATTAAAGCATGGAAATTCACACGTTTATATTGAATGCTATTTTTAGCCACCTTTGAATATATCAAACGCCACATGAGAGACGCCCTTAGGCACTCGTCTTTTCGCGATCTCCGCGGCAGCACAGCTCCGAGCGCGAGTTGGAAGGCGTGCTTTTCATGCCTCTTTTGCACGCCTTCGCCAAAACCCGGAACGCACGAAAGAGGGTAAGGGCGAGAGGGCTCGGAATGCACAGTCTCTAACTTGCAGAACGGCCTTTCTTTTTTTGTTCTTTCTCTCTTTTATGCTTTCTCCTCCGCATACCCATCAAGTCAGCTCGGAGAGCAAGAACGAAGGAGCGATGCCTCCTCCTTTCGCCTTCTCTTCTATTTTAGTTGCTGTTTTGCGAGTTTTGGTCAGCCAACCACAGAATATGCCTTTTGCTGTTGCCCTCGAAGGTGGCGAGTGCTTTGTTGCTTTGGTTGTTTCGTCGCCTACGTACCACCGCTTGTGCAGCATTCCTCTTTTGCGTGCGTCGTGTGCGAAGCTGCTGCGGACTCTGTCTTGTTCTCATGTAGCTATGGCCAGCATCAAGAAGCGCAACACCCTTGACTTTGCGACGAAGCTGAAGGTGATTCAGGGTGTTGAAGTGGGCGAGAAACGTTCGATCGTCGCGGACGACTTCGGGATACCACGGAGCACGCCGAGTACCTTGTTGAAAAACAAGATAGACATCAAGGCAAAGGCGGCAGAGCAGGGAATGTCGGAAGCCTGTCGTGTGCGCGCTCCTGCCCACAAAAATGTAGAAAAGGCACTCTATGCCTGGTTCTTAGAAGTGCGTGCTAAGAACATTCCGGTAGATGGCCCCATGCTGATGGCCAAGGCCAAATGGTTCGCCGCTGCAGTCAATGAAGACAGCTTCGCCAACAATATCGGGTGGTTTCACCGATTTAAACAGCAGTAGAACATTGTTGGGAAAACCATTTCTGGCAATAGCAAAGATGTGAGCAGCCACGACATTCAGCATTGGATGACAAAGGAGTGGCCAGAAAACACTGCAAAGTTTCCTCCCGTGGAGATGTTCAACGCCGACGAGACCAGTCTCTTTTGGCACATGTTGCCGATCAAGACTCGACGTTCGCAGTAGCACGTGTCACGGGGGCAAAATGAGTTAAGTTCGCGTGTGCGTTCTGCTGTCAGCCAACATGGATGGGTCTCGAATGCTCCAGCCCTTTGTGATCAGTAAAGCAAGGGCACCGCGCTGTTTCAAGAACCGTAAGTAGCTCTCCGACCGCTACGTTTCAAACAAGAATGCGTGGATGACGGGTCAGCTTTTTACGGAATGGCTGGAAGCATGGGACGTCGAGCTGGGCAAGTCGGGGCGTCGTGCTTGCCTTCTTGTGGACAACTGCTGGGCCTGCCACACCACCTGCGAGCCCAAAAACATCGAGCGGAAGCTTTTGCCGGGCACCACTACTACGAAGCTGCAACCACTTGACCAGGGCATCATCAAGGCCTTCAAAGTGGGCTACGGGAGGCGACTTCTTGATAGGCTGCTGATCAACCTCCACATGGGCACTGAGCTGAAGGTTGACGTTCTTGGTGCCATACAGATGATGAGGGGTGCCTGGCGAGACGTTAAGACGAACACAGTGGTGAACTGCTTTGGCAAGGCAGGTTTCGAGACGGCAGAACTTGCGGAAACGAGTGAAGACGGCGACGACGAGTGCATAGACGACGCGTTTCTTGAGTTGTCATTCCTCTTCCCGGCCGCAGTTCCACGTGAAGTGTCTGTGGACTATTTCGTCGAAGCGGACTGCATTGTCTAGGCCGTTGCGAGCCTCGCTGATGAGGACATTGTAGCTGCAGTCGCAGGGACCCAGGATGCTCAGGCAGACAGCTGAAGTGACGATGAAAATCATCGGGACATGGCGCTGGCTATACGCACATACTCCGCCGCTTAAGTGGGGGCAGCATTCGGCGTCATTTGCCATTGTATCGGCGACATGGAAGGCACCGAGCTGTTGCACCTGGACAGCCTTGAGAAGATTGAGACTTGACGTCTTCACCTTCATTTCAAAAACAAAGAAGCAGGCCAGGATACGCGATATTTTTTTTCATGCAAATAAGTCATTTTTTGCAGCGTGTATGTGGGATCAGTTGTTATTCTTAAATGCGCTGATTGTAGGTGATGATTCGCTACAGGTAAGCTCTCGGGGCCTCTAGTTTTTGTATCGAATTTTTCACATATCGAACTAATTTGCGATCCCCTTCGAGTTTGATATATCCGTGTTCAAATGTATATCTAAGGCACGAACGTTGGTTGCTGCTATTATCTAAGCTCTCTAATGACTCCTCCGCTCACTCAGTGTCAAGCTACTCGTAAAATTTGGTAGGCTCAAACATGTTGGGCGTGAACATATGGCACAATTTGTTTTGTATTCGGTCTCAGTGTGTACATTTGAGAAAAATACACATTAAAATCAATTGAATGTGGTAAAAAAAGGAGTACAATGGTCCTCATCAATTACATTACAGGCTGGTGCTTCGCAAGTGATGTTCACCAACCCCCTGGAAATTGTCAAGATTCGTCTGCAAGTTGCGGGAGAGATTGCATCTACGGCGAAAGTGCGGGCGTGGCATGTCATCAAGGATCTTGGGATCAGAGGATTATACAAGGCAAGCTTCATCAGCATTTATTGACTTTTCCGCTTGTAGACCCACCCTAGGTCCACTATTTCACTCTGTCATTCAAGGCATGGTTGGTGAGCGAGGCTTGAAAGAGCCGATCGAAATAGACTCTGAGCTTGGTATAACGAATTTGGATGCAATGAAGTATTGGCTGCAGCAAAGTACCGTAAATACTCGAATCTAACGTGCACCTTTTTTCCGGTTAAGCGAGTTCATAAATCGCATGCGCGTTAGAATGGAGTACGAACAAAAAAAAATACGTTCAATCTATTGCCATCGGCAAATCCAAAATAGCCGCCCCCTTCGTGCGTCGGCATGGCGCGTCGGCCATTTCTGCCTATGTGTTTCCCATGTGCGGCACTTCGTACGTGTGCTGAGGAGTTCGTCATCTAGTAGTGCATTAGCATCGACGGCGTGGAAGGGCCGACTCCAAAAACTCGAGTGCACCACGATGCCGCTTTTAAATGAAAAGCCATCGCGTGTGCGGAAACGGACGGAAATCGGGCCGCATCGCGGTCGTTCGGAGTTCCCAAAACGTGCGTGCGGGATCGGCGGAAACAAAAGCAGAAGATTTTCGACAGCAAAGCTTCACGCAAAGGCTTCAGTGGACCACAGCAGGGTCGGTTTCCGCAAATTAAAGAGCTGCTCGGCGAGTATGTGATTGAGCAGTGAGCGGCACAGCGGCCCGTGACGACAGAACTGCTCGAAGTGCGGGCTATGCAATTAGTCTTAGAAAAAGGTCTAATGTGGAGCCAGTTTAAAGCGAGCAGGTGCTGGTTAACTAACTTTATGAAGAGGAAACGCTTTTCCCTCCGAAGGGGAACATGCATATGCGAAAAGTTTTGTGGAGGAGTACGATGAAAAGCTTCACAGTTTTCAGAGGTTCGTCCTAAACTTGCGGCGCAACAACGGCTACCTGCTTGGACTAATCGGGAATGCCGATCAGGCGCCTCTTTACTTCGACATGCCTGGCACCAGAACCATCGAGAAGGGGGCGAAGCAAGTTCGCGTGCTGACATTGGTCCACGGTAAAACTACAGTGACGGCAATGCTCTGTTACACGTCAGATAAGCACAAGCTTCGCCCGTACCTCGTGTTTAAATGGAAGACACTCCCGAAAGGAGTAGTTTTTTCAAGTGGTGTGATCGTGCGGGCCAGCGAGAAAAATGGGTGCGCGTTGCAATCGATGTCTTACGTTTTTTTTTTTTTTTTCCACGGTGGAAATCGGGTGCGCGTTATAATCGAGGGCGTGGTAGAATCGAGTAAATACGGTATATGACATTACCCTTGCAATAGATAGAGTGCTAGGAAGATACCTTTATAACGATTTTTCGGATACAACAAACTTATCTTTGAGTAAGATTCAACTTTGTTATAAAGAGGTTTGAGTGTACTGTCACATGTTCCAAGCTTGTTTACTGTAAAACATAACAGGTCGCTGTCTGTTATATGCTTAGGGGAGAAGAAATTATTGCATTTAGTTTTCTGAGATATCTGTTCTGGCTCATAGCGTAAAGCCACTATAATTGCAGCTGATTTTGATGTGGGCTTTCAAGTAGTATGCACCAATACTTTGTCGAAGTCATTTGAAATTCAAGAGATGCGAGTCGTAATGGTGATCCATTGGATTCAAAGCAAGTGGAAAGGAGCTTCCTTGGTCCTCTAGGAAATTCATTTTTCAAGAAAAAAAGAAATTGTTTACCTCTTTTGGCAGGGACTGTTTGAACCCCCTATCATTGTACACTTATGCTGGTAATAGTAGCCTGACCCAGCAACTAGTACTAAGCTGTCACAAAAGCTTAACACTGCTAGAATTTCTATACTACAAACAGGACTAGTACTGCTATGCTACATACTTCTTGAGTGCCTTTTGGTCTCTGGAGTCGACACGTCAAATTCTACGTGCGAAAATTGTGCACCTCAAGAGTAGCACTACAGACCCATTAAGATTTGCGCACTCATTATTTCGGAGACTATGGCCACGAGTGTTGTCACTATTTCAAGTGTCTTCCTCACTTTCGATGATGGGGTTTTTTCGCCTTCAGAATATCTCTTGCAATGAAGTGCCTATTTTAGGTTTTCTCTGGTAAAATGGAGGCAGAAATTCTGGCCACTGACTGTTCTTCCCTCTCTCTCTCTTTCTCCAGGGATCCCGGGCATGCTTCCTTCGAGACATCCCTTTTTCTGCCATATATTTCCCGACATATGCGCACTGCAAATTAAAGTTTGCAGACGAGATGGGCCACAATGGGGCCGGGTCTCTGCTACTGTCTGCTGTGATTGCAGGTGCTCGGTTGCCTCCTGTTCCTGCTTTCGTCACAGCACTGAGCTGCATGCACTTTTGCTGTACCCAAACTGGGGCACCAGTTTGTCTCGCTCAATTTTCTTGCCAAACTACACCTATGCTATGGCCTGCCCCCCTTGTCAAAACTTGAACTGAATTAGTAATAACAGAACTTAACATTACTAGGGTCAAAGCGTAGGCAAGTGGTTAGTAGGTAGTTCACATTGATGTTTAACACAGTGCATGAAACGTTGCTGTTTGGAAAAACAAAGGCACAGAAAAGAAAGGGGCACGTTACAGTTACCTTTAGGTTGCCGTTCATGAATATTAAGTTACGCTTAGGGTGCACATGAGATAAATAAGGTTCAGTTGAATGCGTTACTTGTCCGAGCATTGGCGAGGCAATGAAACAGTTTAACTAAACCACAAACTATGTTACTGCTATAGCAAGTCAAACGTGCTCCTCTAGACCTAATGCGGCATCCTTTGATCGCCAAGACTAAGACTGATCGAGTTCATATCTGGCCCTCTGACAAAAAGGGGTATCAGATATAACGAAATGCTTGGCCTGGTAGAACCAGCATTCAGGTAAGGGAACCTGCGGGTGCCATCATGACCGAGCTCAAAGCTGCCACCCAGTACTAGGAACAAGGTATGTCTAAATGCATGTGCCCGGGAAGAGCAGAACGCCACCCTGCTTTTGGCTTCTGGCTTGTTACTGCGACATGCATGGTCGCGGAAAAGGCTACCATCACCATATCCTGTATGTGCATCTAACGCAAGATCATTGAAAGGTTCTTGGTGATTTTTTTCAAGGTATTTTCAACAAAATCAAAAGTGTGACACTGATCCTCTTTTTTGTGTTTTTTTCCTTGTTTACATTAAGACATCACTTCAGCCAATTTGAACTAGCCATGGTTAGTTTTTGCTGGCACATAATGGTACTACATAACACTGCTCGGTAATGAACAGACCAGCAAAGTTGAGTTGGTAGAATCGAGTGTGCCGTGATTTTAGGGCCAATACATTTAGTTCTCTGGGGACATTACCAGGCTCCAGTGTTGGCCTGTCAGTGACCAGCTGTGCTGACACTGTAGTTGGCTCTCGGCAGGTGTGCCAGCCGCGTATTTAGTGACGCCTGCGGATGTGATCAAGACGAGGCTACAGGTGGCTGCACGCCAGGGTCAGACCACTTACTCGGGTGTCCTGGATGCCTGCCGCAAGATTTGGAAAGAGGAAGGAGGACAGGCTTTCTGGAAAGGAGGACCTGGTACGCACAGCCTCCATCACTTTCTGGTGTCTTGACTTGCGCAAGCTTATAAAGTGTGCCCACAGAGTAAACCGCACTAGGAAAAGTCTGTGAACTAATGGCACATGCCAGCATTGAGGTACATTAACACAAAGTATAATTTACCTCACTGGGTTAACCAAGGTAGTGTTCAGTGTTTTAAAATGTTGTATCAGTTCAGGGTCTCACTCTCATCGGCAAGCAGGCCACAGTCACGAAATTTAGTCCTGCAAGCTCCAAAAGCTCAAAAAATAGCTGTGCTTGGTGACAAAGTTTGTAGTAAAGGTTTGTCCAATAATCTGTGATACTGTTATACATAATGTGTTGTAGTGCAACATCATGCAGCACTGCAGCGTCATTCTGCAGTGACAAAATATGAATAACTGAGAGCGTGTAACACGCTTTTTGTGTTTCACGGGAATGTTACCCAAGTCACTACGTCGGAATGTAAAGCTGAGTTCTGAAGGTACTACCATTAAAAGCCCACTTTTACGGTGATATCATTCTACTTCAGGGTAACAGGCGAATACATTTCTCGCATGAAAATGCATTGCTCCTATGGATGTTGCCTGGAAGGAAATAAAACACAGCATGCCGTAAAAGTTACGAAGCAGAATTGTATGAATTAGGTTTCACTGTATGTTATTTATGCCACACAGCTTTATATTATAATTTTCCTCAATAAATTGTTATTATTTGCTGCTCCTAAAGTAATGAAAGTACCCTACAGGGATCTTTAGGAAAGATTATCAAGGGGCTTGCATCGGTTGGGTCAAGTTGTGAAATGGGTGTTGATATTACACCACCATATCAACAAATTTGGGTAGCCACTATGACTGATGCTTACATCAACATTGTGTTGAATATTTTTTGCTCTGTCCGGTGCCTCTTTTATCAGTCGTGCTGAAGGACACCCTTCAGTATTCATGCACCATTGTCAGCCACAGCTCTCAGTGTTTGCCTTTATCTCAATGTTGTACACATAGGTGGCAGCTTCAGCAGACAGTGCAAGAAAAGTTGTGAACTTTGCAGACTTCTGTACAGTGCTCCCAGAATGAAACACATCTTAAGATTAAGCATTACAACTGGTGTGTGTAATTGCTCAAGATAGCCATTCCGTATTAACATGAATCTAACCACTCAAGGCAATATTGTCTCGAATGCAAGTGTTCAAGCCAATATGACATGTACTAAAGATTACTGCAGAAACAAAAGTGCATGCATCACTCTGCCTTAAGTGTTTTATTCTGAAAGTGCTGTACATCCTGTCATGATAGAACATACTTAACATTCGAGCCTTCATGTTCTGATGCAGCTCGAGTCTTCAGATCAGCCCCCCAGTTTGGCTTCACGCTGTTAACATATGAAATACTCCAGAGGCTGTTCTACATTGACTTTGGAGGGAGGTGAGTCCCATCAAAGAGACCGTGAAACCTGACATTGCTGCGCAGTTGTTGTGCGGGCAAAACTAATACATGCCTATACCTTTGAACTCGACAGGAGGCCAACGGGATCGCAAGTCAAGGTCCCTGTACAGACAGGAGAGATGAAGTCTTCCAACCCCGACCACATTGGTGGCTACCGTGTCGCCTTGGCCACGTTCAGTGGCATGGAGACGAAATTTGGACTTGTTTTGCCCCGATACAATGTCGCCGCCTAGAGGGCGTCGACCAGAGTAGCGAATGGACCGTTTGACTTGGCACAAAGCATGTACACACACTTGTGATGTAGTGTGTGTAGAATTTGCTCAGTCATGCAGTGGTAAAGTAGGCGAGTAATTCTCCTATCTGCCCCTCCCCCCCTGGTTTTAGCATGTACAATTAATGCCTCATTGTTTCAAAGATGTTTTTCTTTTTTTAGCAACTCTTGTCTCAACCAACCTGCGTGCTTTTGAACTGAGTGTTTTGAGACTGGACTGTGCAGAGCGTGAAAAACAAAAACCAGTGGTGCTGCAAAGTTTTTAACGGCCAGTACGGGAGTGTTCTCTTTTCGGTGTGTTGTAGGGGGTGGTGTTTGCATGTGACCATGGTACAGGCATGCGCTTTTTCTGTGTTCATTAGCCATGGGCCCTAATGAGATGATCTGTACATTGAGTGCAGGGCTGTTGTGTTCATTCTTTAGAGTGAAGTGGTGAGGTTTGGTGGGGTTAGGAATGTTGTTTCCTATTTTATCAGCACCTAAGCGTCGCCAATGCAGTTGTTTACTATTGCACGCTATTGCCGTGTGTTGGAAGCTCCGAATTTTAGCAGATTTGTGCAAAGCTACGCCACTGGCTGACTAGCTGCTAGGTGGAGATTTTAAGTGTTGGGACTCATCTTGGAAAGACTGTTATAGCGAAGTTTTTAAGAAAAAATAGCAGTGCAAGTCTGTATCAAAGCCTTGTGCCATCATGTCGTCAAACCACCCCAGGGAAAGTACCTTTTGTCTGTTATGTAATAGTTTGCCATGCGAAATACGATGGAAAGAATTACTTTCTCTTATGCTTTAGCCGTCCTAGTCACACTAGTTCTTAACATATTGTGCCTGACAGTGGCACAAACTGTATCTATCCTTACTTTTGCCTAGATTGTGTACAGTTATTTTAAATTCTTTTTTCTGTTCGAATGCAGCAATAGCACGCCAGTTTCATCTGTACAGACGCATTAAAAGTTGAATGTTATGCTTTCACCTCTGTGCTTACTGTGTTTTTTGTGCATCATTTTACGGACTGTTCTTGTTTTACTTAGAAGCCAGCAAGAAATAAGGAAAAAGTTCTTGTTCTGGAGTAGAATAAATTGTGTTTAGCACTGGCTTTAGTGTAGGACACTCACTGCACACTCGCGAGACTTGTTGCGGATGTAAAAGCCTTTGTTCGGTGGCCTCCAAAGTTTGCCACTGGCATGTCTGTAGAGTTAGTTTCTCTCAAAATCACACTGCACCGATATTCAGTGTGTGATCATACAGATGACAGAAGCTGCCACTCTACAAGTCTGTTCACGGCACAGATGCAAAAGCAAGTACGAGTCTGCTTTTACAGCAGTTCATTAAAGTGTATGCAATTTCATCCTGATGATGACTGCTTCTGAGTGATAGAAAATTGCCTTGAAGACTCGTACTTTGAGTACATTATACAAGTGTCTTAATAAATCTCCTGATATAGTTACTGTATATAACTCTGGTGCTAAAATTGTTCAGCTACTACGGGAACAATAGTTATAGTACAAGGATTTCTCTAAACTCCATGCTTGCGACTTCAGGCTTTCTTCATGCTTTGTTACAGTTTACCTCATTCTTTAGATTAAAATTTAGAAGCTCTGGCACTCTTCTGGACCAAGAAACATTTCATTGCAGAAACATTGTTGAAAGCTGGAAGAATGAAGTTTCGGCAAATCGGTGTAAGATAGCTGATGATCATGCACGTGCTGGCTGATGATAATGACCCTGGAAATATTTTCCCTTTGAACTGCCATGACTGCTACCTCCATATATGCAACATGAGAGTTTCTTCCAGTAATTGCTGTGCGTATATTATAGCTACTTCCGAGAATACCTGTAACCAATGTCGCGTTGCCCAAGGTTTGTTGGTGCCTATAACTATGTTACAGTGTTTCTGGCACAGCGCCAAGCACGCTGTCTTATCGCAAGTAGCCTGTGTGCTCATCTCGTTGCACAAAATATTCTGAACACTGATTACACGCACGTCAGAATGTGGCCAAGTGATGAGAGGTACTCTCATATTTTGATGTCGGGCCCTACAAAGGTCACCGTATAAGTGTTTAATACCGCATGGTGGCTGTTGGTGGCAGTTCACTTGTGATGCAGTGAATGACTTTGATCAAATTATTGAGAGAAAACTTAGTTTTTAATTACTTATCCCAAGGGCCTAATACAAAATACTTTCAGTGTTGTGTGGACGTTCATGTGAGCGTTCTTTTTTATTTGGGTTCCCAAGTTTCATTGAAGTTCCTAAGGAAAGCAGCCAAAATGCTCGCACACTATTCTTTATACAAACTTGCAGTGCATGTCTGAGAGCGCTGCGATAAGACCAATGCAGTTTTGCTTTCATAACGGCCCATTAAAGGACCACTGACACCAAATTTCAAACTCGAGATGTGGCGTTCATTCAAATGCTTGATACGCAGAGTTTCTTTAACGAAGTATGAATCGCGTTAGTTACGAGCACAAGCAGCGTCCAAGGCCAGCGCCGCCTCTATTAACGCGATAGCGTTAGAGAGTTCGTGTCGCAGAAATTCCGCCGTCGTCGTCGGCACCGTTGGTTGTGAGCGAAAAATCGAGAAAGAAGCTAATAAAATTAAGAATAAAATTTTGGTCCTATTGACGATCAAACCCGGGCCGTTCGCGTGGTAAGCAGGTGTCCTACCACGAAGCCACGATGTTACTTGCTGCTGCTTCTAAAAAAAAAAAAAAAGCTACATAAGTATGCCATTTGTGAAAGCAGTCTCCTTAACGCATTTTGTTTGACAAGTGTCATACGAAAACGAGCCAATTCGGCGATTTGTAGGTGCATTTGGAAGGACATCAAACTACGTCGTAAAAAGGCCGGGATAGTGCAGCCATCGCCGCTAAATACACGCAGGAACTTTCGAACAGCTCTAAAAATGGACAGCAATGTCCATCTAGCGGAAAACATATGCCTTCCCAGAGACGTGGCGGTTTGGGGTAGTTGGTATGACATGACAATAGTTATAGCGCCAGAACAGAACGACGACAAAATGATACACAAAGGAGACCGTCTCCTTCTTGTCTCTTAATGTTGCTGCATATGCTACCCTTAGGTAGCATATACAGTAACGATAGCGGTGCCTTTATAAGGTGCCGTCTGGCCGCGACGCCTGGCTGCCTAGCAACGGCGTCACTTGCTTTGTTTCACTTGCTTCGGGCAGCGCGTTCGTATAAATACTGTGTTTTCGTTGTGCCGATTCAGTTCATTTGTCGCGGAGTCGTTAGTGCGAATGTGATTATTTGAAGCTACGGTCATTGTGAAGAAGTAGCACGCACGCAGCGCTCGTATGTCAGCCAGCGTGGCCCAAGCGTGCGTCTCCAGCTGGCTCGTCGCTGCTCGGTCCAGCGTCGATTTCAGAATCGCTACTCAGAAGAGCATCGAACCGAAAGTGATTTGCCACGCCGTTACTCGCCGCGATTCCACACTCGTCAGTGTTTTCATCGCCATTTGTGGACACCGATGACGGTGGCGACGACAATGGGAGTGGAAAAGACATGCCCTATACACGTACGCGCCGAGCAGACAACTGAAGATCGCGTCACCATTTCGTGTGGTCACGTGATTTGATAGGGCGGGACCGCGGAAAAGGACAGCTTGGCAGCGCGGAAAATGGGCGGGCTTTGGAGCCTTTTCGAATGGGTTCAATACTGGTCATACTAGTTGATATTACAGATATAAATTCGTCTTTCTGTTTCAATAATAGTTCCAGATCATTACCAGGGGATTGATAGCTACCCACTGACGAAAAAAAACACGACATGCGTAAAGTTGGTGTCCCTGATTTTTTTTAGAGCTTGCTTCACTGTGCAAGGAGCTTGTATGTGGAGAAGCCCTCTTCGGCAGATCCATCTGTCCCGTGACAGCTCTGGGAGCAACAGGACAGATGGACACAGCGAAACTGCCGTCTCGTCAGACCCGCACACACATGTACGAGTCTGACGATGCGCAAATTTAGCTGTGTAGAAGGTGTGTGTGTTTAGAAGTACTGTAAGCAACACAGACCCGAGTAGTCGTTGGCACGTCAACAACATTGGTTTACTTGCAGATGCTGTCAGTCCTTTAAGGGACATTCCTTTCAATCGTGCTGTATAGGCGTGCACGTACATAACCTGTTTTTGTTATGTGCAGTAACCGCATAATCATATACGGTTGAATCGGTGGCCATGATGCTGTGATACTGAGGACGAGGTCGTGTGTTCAATCCTTAGTCGAAGCAGCGGAGATTTTAATCCCGAGACGCCTGTCATGGGGTGCCACATAATACTGTGCTTTCGCCCGTAAGACTTCACTATTTTAGCATTACTTAATTATTGTTACAACTACTCTTTAATGTTTTTACGCAACTGTTTCAAACGTGTACAAACGGAGGACAAAACGAGGGAAACTGTGGGCTAACAGCGACATAATTCTTTGTGTGAGGCCCTTGAGACAATGGTGAAACCAATTCATGCCTGCCAACTGAGCCGACTTGCGCAGGAGACTCCCGAGTTCCGAGCCTTCCTCCGGATTGTTTGGAGATGGCTATAGATTCACCTAGAAACAGTGCTAGAGCTTCACAATATGCAAAGGAAACTAGAAAGACGTCGGTACTAAAATTCTTCAATAGCGTTTGGATCATTCAACACTTTTTGAGCATGATCAGAAAATACTGCCGATCGGTAGTTTCAAGGCCCCCGAGAACACGTAGGCCTAAAATTATAGCTCAGCATGTGGCCTGGTATTTACGCTAAATTTTCAAAGTCAGCTAAATATGGCTTTCTCGTCTCTCGACAAATGATTCTATCTGCTCAGAAATCATTGCGCTGTATGCCCAAGTATCAATCACTCCATTGGCTGATTTCAGCATGGCGTGCCCTGGAGTTATATTGGGGCCGCTGACGGAGGCAGCGTGTGACGTATTTTCTTTCCCCGTGCCATTCCTCCCTGCTTAGTTTGCAGCGCTATTGACGGTACGAGAGAAGAAAGAAAGCGATTGCAGTGTGTGACTGAACTTTGTAACTACGCGCGGACTGTACGGACTCTAAAGCTTTTTGTGGCAGTCGATTCGGGAGGTGATAAGCTCCATTCGTGGAGCCATCCATGGCTACTTAAAAAGGTGTTTCAGGACCCCTTTAACTTTTGCCGCATTACACACGCAAAAAGCCCATTAAGAGTGATTGGCAAGCGGCTGTTAGCTGACGCGCGTGACACAGAAGGCCCTGCAACGCTTTTTGAGCAGTCTTAAAACGCTGCCGATTGGTAGTCGAGGCCCCTTAGAACACGCGTGCCAAATTCGTTGGTTGTTTGCCCCTCAGAGTCCTGGCGCAACCCACGACGGGGTTAGCCATGAAACAGACGGCGCCTCATTTGTGAGATGAAATCGTTTTACCAGCCAGATTATTTAGATAAGGATGTTTAAACAAATGACCAATTGGTAAGCCATAGATTAGAAATAAAATAAATAACGGTAATACAAAAACACCGAACAAGCTAATATGGTCTGAAATAAACTGAATTTACGCCTCAGCTTAACATTCTATTCGTTTTGTGGCCTTTAGAAAATTGCTTACGGCCTCGCAAACGTTTCAGGGGCTTCATTTCTTTTCAGTTGCCCCAAAGGAAAGGACCTCCGGAAGGGATAAATTCAGAGCTAAGCTACGGAGAGGTTCGTCTAACAGTCTCATCCTTTGGTTTGTATATAACCTGCATGTTATGAGGAAATGGTGAAAGGATTCACTCTCGTTGCAGTGGAGGCATAGGGTAGACTGTGCCAGACCAGACCTGTGTAGATAGAAGTTCAGGGGGGGGGGGGGGGGGGGACTCGGCATTGTAGTCTCGTAATTAATATTTCCGCCATTTTAGAGGAGCGCCATCTATTTTTCCAGGGGTAATTAAGATGAGAAAAATCAGATGTTGCCAAGCGAGATTTTTCAAAATTATCTGATGGGACGAATTTTTCAAAGCG